AATAACAATCAGAAATGAGTAGGAGCAATACCGATTTCTGATAAAATAGACTTAAAGGCAAAAGCAAGCACAAGAGACAAAGAAGGACACTATCTCATAATTAAAGGATCAATTGAACAAAAGGACATAACCACAGTAAATATATATACTTATAGTGAAAGAGCCTCAAAATACATATATTTAATACTAATAGAGTTCAAGAAAGAAACAGACAACTCTACAATAATAGTAGGAGATTTAACTATACTACTTTCAATGAAGGACATAAAAACTAGAAAGAAATTCAACAGACAGAGAAGAACTAAACTATACAATCGACCAACTTGAACTCATAGATTTGTACAGAGCACTCAACCCAACAACAGCACGATACACATTCTTTTGCAGTGCACATGGAACGTTCTCCAGAATAGATCATGTTAGGTCACAAAGCAAACCTCAATAAATTTAAAAGCATCAAAATATTCTGAAGCATCTATTCAGATCATAATATTATAAAGTGAGAAATCAACAATAGAAAGATCAAGAAAAACATCTAATACATGGAAATTGAATAATACCCTGCTTAAAAACTACTGGATAATAGAACAAATAAAAAATGAAATTAAAAAAATTTCCTTGAATCAAATGCGAATGAAAACACAACTTACCTTTGGGGCACAGCAAAAGCTGTGCTTAAATAGCACTTTATAGCAACAAATGTGCAACATTGCCAACAATTAGAAAAAGAGCTGCAAAGTAAGCCTATAGCCATCAGAATAAAAGGAATAAAAAAGATTAGAGAAGAAATAAATAAATTAGAAAACAGAAAAACACTAGAAAAAAATCAATCAACAAGATAAGAAGTTGGTTCTTTGAAGGGATTAATAAAATTGGCAAGTCATTAGCAAATCTAACAATAGAAAAAAGGAAAAGATGCAAATAAGCACATAATAAATGATATGGGTGGCATCACAAAAGAATCAATGGAAATAGAAAAGGCAATAACAGAATACTATGGAGAACTGTATTCCAACAAATTTGAAAATCTGGAAGAAATGGATAATTTTTTAGAAAAACATGACCGACTGGAACTAACAAGGAATGGAATAGAAAACTTGAATATACCTATCTTGAAGTATGGCAATTCCTCAGAAATTTGGCAATAGAAATGCTGTATTACTCAGCAGTGCCTCTACTTGGTATATAGCCACAAGGAAAAAGAGCCAAGATATGAGTAGATGTATGCACACCAGTGTTCACTGGAGCACTATTCACAATAGCAAATAGATGAAGACAGCCTAAATGCCCATCAATGGAAGAATGAATAAACATTCTTTGGTACATACACACAATGGAATACTACGCAATGGTGAAAAAATTATGATGAATCTGCAAAACACCACATAAGAGGGATGGACGTGGATAATATTTGTTGTTGTAATGTGCTGTGGAGTGGGTTCTGAATCATAGGGACCCTGCACAGGGTTTCTGAGGCTGTAAGTCTTTACGGAAGCAGAAAGCCTCATCTTTCTCCTGTGGAACAACTGGTAGTTTCGAACTGCTGACCCTGAGGTTAGCAGACTGATTCGTAACCACTACACTATCAGAGCTCCTTTGGAGAACATTATGCTGAGTGAAATTAATCAATCACAAAAAGACAAATATTATATTATATCACTATTTTAAAAACTTAGGAAAAGGTTTTTATGCTAAAAGGCCATTCTTTGATGGTTACCAGGGTGAGATGGAAGCGAGAGTAATTTACTGACTAGAAGTTAAGACACATGTTAATTTGGGTGATGGGAAGGGTCATATATACTAAGAGGGAGGTTGGCAGAAGAATTATGAAGATAGGTGAAGACAGAGGAAGCATATAAGTGCTAAAGAGGATAGAAGTAAAGAGTGTTATATACAAAGCCATACTTGTTTGGAGTGGAGTGGAGTCCTGGTGTGGCACTGTGGGATAATGTGCTGGGCTGCAAATTCAGTTTAAATCACAAGGTGGGTGATTTAAGCTCACCAGCCACTCCTCGGAGACCCTATACAGGGTCGCTATGGATTGGAACCGACTTGATGGCACTTAACAACAACAACTTGTTTGATGAATTTCACACTGAAGAAGTTGGTAGAATTATTCTATTTCATCGTCTCTGGCTTTATTAGTTGGTGTGTAAATTTGAATAATAGTTCTATTAACTGATCTGTCTTGCAGGCATATGGATATTATTATATCACAGACAACATTGTACTTTAAGATAGATTTTGAAATTTTCTTTTTGATGATGAATACAACACCATTCCTTTTCAATTTGTCATTCCCAACATAGTAAAATATATGATTGTCAGATTCAAGATGGCTAAAGCCAGTTCATTTCAGCTCATTAATGCCTAGAATATCTATATTTATGTATTCCATTGCAGTTTTGACAACCTCCAAATTTTCTAGACTCATACTTTGTACACCCCATATTCCGATTATTAATGAATGTTTGCAGTTGTTTCTCCTCATTTTGAGTTTTGCTCCTTGAGCAAATGAAGGTTCTGAAAGCTTTACTCCATTTTTGTCATCATGGTCAACTCTGTTAAGGAGGCGGCTTTCATTTTGATTGCTTTCCAACCTGGGGGGCTCATCTTTAGGCACTATATCTGACAATACAATAATATTTTCATTTTCTAGTACTATATTTGACAATATTCTGCTATTCATAAGATTTTCAGTGTCTAAACTTTCAGAGGTAATCCGCCTCTCCTTTTTCCTAGTCTGTCTTAGTCTGGATGCTCAGCTGAAACTTTTCCACCAGGGATGACCCTGCTGATACTTAAAATATTTGTGATGTAGCTTCCAGTATCACAGCAACACACAAACCACCACAGTTTGGCAAACTGACAGACAAGCAGTGCAATCAGGATGTATTGACAACTACTGATGATTGGAATGTGAAGGTTGGAAACAAAATATAAGACCTTAGTGATAGAAATGATGCTGAATTTTGCAAGACCAATGACTTATTCCTCACAAAAACTTTTTTTTTTTTTTTTTTTAAAACACACAGAGACCTCACCAAATGAATACACAGAAATCAAACTGACTACATCTATGGGGAGAGATGGTGGAAAAATTCAATATCATCAGCCAAAACAGGGTCAGGGGCAGACTGGGGAACAGACCATCAATTGCTCCATATGCAAGTTCAGGTTGAAGCTGAAGAAAATCAAAATAAGTCTACTGGAGTAAAAATATGACCTTAGACATATCCCACCTGAATTTAGAGATCATATCAAGAATAGATGTAATGCATTAGATATTAATGATGGAAGACCAGAAGAGTTGTGAGAAGACATCAAAAATACCATACAGAAAGAATGCAGAAGGCCATTAAGAAGCAAGAAAGAAGGATAATGAAACGCAGATGGGTCACTTGTGATACAATAGTCAATAATTGTTATCAGGACTGTAAAGGTAGACGTTTTATAGCAAGGAAGGGAGTGATTAA